GACTATAAAGAAAGCTGAGTGCCGAAGAATTGATGCTTTTGAACTGTGGTGTTGGAGAAGACTCTTGAGAGTCCCTTGGACTGCAGGGAGATCCAACCAGTCCATTTTAAAGAAGATCAGTCCTGGGTGTTCATTGGAAGGACTGATGTTGCAGCTGACACAACTGAGCAACTGAACTGAAGTGATGTTTGTTTATAGAGAGTTTCTACAAATAAAAAATTTTAAAGCATTCTAGAGAAAAAAATATTGTCATGAAAGATATCTTAAAACAGTAAAATAGGAAAGAAGATAATATTTTTGTATATAGTGTTTGTGAAAGTCACTCTGCTACTGCTAAGTCACTTCAGTCGTGTCCAACTCTGCATGACCCCATAGATGGCAGCCCACCAGGCTCCCCCATCCCTGGGATTCTCCAGGCAAGAACACTGGAGTGGGTAGCCTTTCCCTTCTCCAGGCGTCTTCCCAAGCCAGGGATCGCACCTAGGTCTCCCACATTGCAGGCAGATTCTTTACCGGCTGAGTCATCAGGGAAGCCCAAGAATATTGGGGTGAGTAGCCTATCCCTTCTCCAGTGGATCTTCCCAACCCAGGATTCAAACCAGGGTCTCTTGCATTGTAGGTGGATTCTTTACCAGCTTAGCTACCAGGGAAGCCCTAATGTGGATTAAACAAAAAACAAAAAACATGATGCATGTTCTTATGTCAAGACTATGAAGAGAATAATACTCTTTTAAAATTAATTATTTGTTTGGTTGTGCTGGGTCTTAGTTGCAGCATGCAAATTCTTATTTGTGGGATCATAAGATAAAAAATTGTAACTACATGTGGTGATGGATATTACTGTACATGTGGTGATGATTTACCAATATGTACAAAAATATAAACACTATGTTTTACACTTAGAACTAATATAATGTTACAAAAATTACATCTCAATTAAAAATTTTAACAAACAAGGTTGGAATATGTGGATAAAATCAGTTCCATCCTTACCTCATTTAGGCTTCTCTGGTGGCTCAGACAGTAAAGAATCTGACTGCAGTGCGGGAGACTCAATTGCGATACCTAGGTTGGGATGATCCCCTGGAGAAGGGAATGGAAACCCATTCCAGTATTCTTGCCTGGAGAATTCCGTGGTCAGAGGAGCCTGGCAGGCTATAGTCCATGCAGGCACAAAGAGTCGGACATGATTGAACAACTAACATTTTAACTTAATGTCATTTTGTGGACCCAAATTAAACTCACCACTTAGATTTTAAAATATCAAATCTCACTGCATCCTACAGGGTTGGGACAGACACACAGAAACAGTAAGTCACCTGCACACGAGATGTAGGCTTCCTCCTCTGGAGAACACGAAGTGTAATTCCAAGGGTCAGAAGGACACTGCCAGAGAGAGATGTCAGTTTTCCGACACCGGATTCCATCCACCCACTGGGGTCTAGAACCTTTTCTAAGAGCAAGAGAAGAGTTGAGGGTTCCACTGTCCCCACAGCCAAGCTGTCTGCAGATCATGGACACGGTGATGTCTTCCATGGGGCTGCGGCAGACACTGCCCCAGGTCCCGTTGTAGAAAACTTCCAGCCACCCAGCACACTGGTGGTCCTCACTCACCATCCTGAGGGCCAGGAACTCTAAGATTGAAAGGGGAGGAGACAGGACACAATGATAACTTTGTTGGATGTTTTAGGTTTTCCTTTCTTCTAGAAATGGTGAACATTCATCTCTGACCTTGTTCAAGAGGTACCCACTAGATGGCAAGACTGACATTGCCTCCCTTTTAACTGACTTTGTCCATTTGTGTCTGTCCTTCTATTTCTATCACAATGGTGTAGTGGATATGAACTGAGAGGAAGACCAAACTGTTTGGGTGCTCGTCAGGGAGGGGCAGCTGAATTCAGCTTCCTGACCAAATCTTTGAAGAGTATGTCACGGGATGTGATGTAGATATTAGGGAGATAGGCAGAATAATTAACCCCAAAATGTCCACATCCCAATCTCTGCAACCTGTGAATATGTTACCATACCTGACAAAAGGGATTTACAGATGTGATTAAGAAGAGGACCTTGGGACGGTGAGATTAAGCTAGAATATTATATTAACAATGTGAGCCCAGTCTAAGCACATCCTTAGACCCACTATCCTTAAACATGGTATACATTTCTTAGCTCTGCCTCGAGAAAGAGATGTGACTCTCGATAATATTTGGAGGCCTGCAGCATTGCTGGTCTGATAATGGATGAAGGGAGCTGTGAACCAAGGGATGTAGGTGGTTTGTAGAAGCTTGAGAATTCCATGGACAGAGAGGCAGGGCAGGATACAGTCCATGGTATGGCAAAGAGTCAGACACGACTGTGCGAAGAACTTTCTTTTTTTTTTTTTTATCTAGAAGATTGAAAAGACAAGAAATAGATTCTCCCCCAGAGCCACAGAAGTGATGCAGCCCCGCTGAAGCCTTGATCCCAGCCCAGTGAGAGCCTTGCTGGACATCTAAGCTACAGAAGAGTAAGGAAACAAATATATGCTGTTTTAAACCACTAATTGGTAAATAGTTAGGGAAGCAAATCTAAACTAGTACCGTGGGTTTAAAATTCTTGTATGTAACTGGAGAGAGAGCCTTGCTTTCAACAAAAACTGTAAAAAACGGTTCTGCCAGGAAATACTGGGGAGAAGAAAGGACCAGATCCTCAGCGGCTGCAAGAAGAAGTGAAAGCACCTCGTCTTCACGTCTGCTGGAAACACAGGCTCCATGGGAGGAAGGCTCCTTATCTGGTCCTTTCGGCATCTCTCCCTCAGAGCTCAGACCCCATCCTCCAGGGCCCCATCCCCTCCCCCAGCCTGTGGACAGTGCGCAGCGCAGACCTGAGCAGATGACCCCCGCGTCCTGCTTGTGTCTGCAGTCGTGCTGCCCCCAGCCTCGGGAAGGGCACCTCCACACTTGGGACTCCTTTCCTGTGCAGTTCAGGTCGTCCAGCCAGATGGGCCCTGATCCCGCCCCAAAGTGAGCAGACCTCGTGGCGTTTAGGGCTTCTCCACAGCCCAGCTGCCTGCACACCACGTGGGCATCGTCCAGGTCCCAGCCGTGATCACAGATGGTGCCCCAGGAGCTTTGGTCAAAGATCTCCACTCTCCCGGCGCAGGGACCGCCCCCGTCCACCAGGCGGAGCTGTCTGCTGTCTGAGGAGAGAGAAAAGAGACAATGTGGACTTGACCTGGGGAATGAATAGGGTCTTCTGTCCTGTGGGACCCTCACCTGAGCAGTAGGGGGCGCTCTCCTCTGAGGCCGCAGAGCCTGCTGGTTCAGACAGGGAGTTGTTGCACTGGGGCAGCACCTGGGTCTGGTTTCCTGAAGAAACAACAATGATCAGAAGTCTGGAAGGGCTGAAGAACAGGAAACTGAATTAAGCGAAATAATGACCTAGTGATAGAGGCTAAGATGAAAGCTCTGTTCGGTTCACTTCAGTTCAGTCGCTCAATAGTGTCCTACTCTTTGCGACCCCATGAACCACAGCACGCGAAGTCTCCCGGTCCATCACCAACTCCCGGAGTCCACCCAAACCCATGCCCATCGAGTCGGTGATACCATCCAATGATCTCATCCTCTGTCGTCCCCTTCTCCACCCTCCCTCAATCTTTCCCAGCATCAGGGTCTTTTCAAATGGTCAGCTCTTCACATCAGGTGGCCAAAGTATTGGAGTTTCGGCTTCATCAGTCCTTCCAATGAACACCCAGGGCTGATTTCCTTTAGGGTGGACTGGTTGGCTCTCCTTGCAGTCCAAGGGACTCTCAAGAGTCTTCTCCAACACCACAGTTCAAAAGCACCAGTTCTTCAGTGCTCAGCTTTCTTTACAGTCCAACTCTCACATCCATACATGACTACTGGAAAACCATAGCCTTGACTAGACAGACCTTTGTTGGCAAAGTAATGTCTCTGCTTTTTAATATGCTGTCTAGGTTGGGTCATAACTTTCCTTCCAAGGAGTAAGTGTCTTTTAATTTCTTGGCTGCAGTCACTATCTGCAGTGATTTGGAAGCCCAAAAAAATGAAGTCAGCCACTGTTTCCACTGTTTCCCCATCTATTTGCCATGAAGNCCATGAAGTGATGGGACTGGATGCCTTGATCTTAGTTTTTTGAATGTTGAGTTTTAAGCCAACTTTTTCACTCTCCTCTTTCACTTTCATCAAGAGGCTCTTCAGTTCCTCTTTGCTTTCTGCCATAAAGGTGGTGTCAACAGCATATCTGAGGTTATTGATATTTCTCCCGGCAATCTTGATTCCAGCTCGTGCTTCATCCAGACTAGCATTTCACATGATGTACTCTGCATGTAAGTTAAACAAGCAGGATGACAACATACAGCCTTGACATACTCCTTTCCCAGTTTGGAACCAGTCTGTTTTTCCATGTCCAGTTCTAACTAATGCTTCTTGATCTGCATGCAGGAGGCAGGTAAGGTGGTCTGGTATTCCCATCTCTTTAAGAATTTTCCACAGTTTGTTATGATCCACACAGTCAAAGGTTTGGCATAGTCAATAAAGCAGAAGATGTTTTTCTGGAACTCTCTTGCTTTCTCTGTGATTCAACGGATGTTAGCAATTTGATCAATATGAAAAGGCAAAACTTTTAGCTGAAGAAAAAGAATATATAATTCATTTTGCTTATGATTTTGAGTCATTGATCAGGAAAAAAACTCAGTTTGGCAGTCTTTCAGTGGGGTCTTTCAGTGCTGCAATTAGATGTCACCTGGAGCTGAAGTCATTTAAAGATTTGACTGAACTCTGGTTCTGTAAAGAACCTGGTTCTGTAAAGAAACTCCTAGAAGTGTTCTAAGGGTAAAGGAACATCATTTCTTCAACTTAATTCAGAAAGATTTTACATATTCAGGAAGAAATGGGGCAGAAGGGGAATCAAGAAGGAAAGACACTCACACACACACACAGATTAAAGCAAAATATTGATACTAACATTTAGAAACCCAGGTAAAGGTGAGAAGGGAATTTTTATATTACTTTCCCAACGTTTTAATGTCTCAAATGACATCAAAATTTTAAAAATTAAAAGATGAAAACAACTCAAAGAGAATTCTTTGACAGGACACTTTCACAAAAATACTCATAACATCAAAAATAAAATAGCTAGGAGAAATCCTAGTAGAAGATGGGCAAAATCTCTGAGAGAAATTCAAGATCTAACTGAACGGAGGGATGTATTATGTCAATGATTTGGAAAACTCAACATTGTCAAAGTCAATCATCTTCAAATTTCTTTGTCTCCTCTCAAATTTTTAAATATAATCTCAATGAAAATACCCTTCAGCTTTTCTTTGGGTGAAAAGGACAAGCTGATTTCTAAATTCATACAAAATACAAGCAACCAAGAATGATCATTACAGTTGGTAAGAAAAGCAACAAAGTTAGAGGAGTTAATATAAAGCAATTCTTATAAATTAAAATTATTAAGACTTACTACAAAGTTTGAAACTCTGGGAGATAGTGAAAGACATGGAAGCCTGATGAACTGTAGTTCATGAGGTCACAAAGAGTCAGACATGACTTAGTGATTGAACAACAACAACGACAAAGTTATGATAATTAAGAAAATACAGTATTGGTGCGAGGATAGACAAATGATAACATGGAACAGAATAGAGAGTCTTAAAAAGGACAGACATAATTGCCCTTCTGCTTATGATGAAGGCGTCTCTGAAGTGGGGAAAAGAATCTTTTCAGAAAAAGATTGAGTCAATTGGATGTCCATATGAAACCTGACCCTTATCTTACACCGATATCAATCCCAGAAGGAATGCACAATTATATGCGAGAGAAAAATAATAAAATTTCCATAAGATACACTTGGAGAATGTTTTTTTTTTTTTAATTTTTATTAGTTGGAGGCTAATTACTTTACATCATTACAGTAGTTTTTGTTATACATTGATATGAATTAGCCATGGATTTACATGTACTCCCCAT